CACAGGAGATCTCACTGCCATCCCTGCAGCACCTCTGCATGGTGCTGAGCACCCCCAAACTAATGTCAACCCCCCTGCCCATCCCCGGCACCCAGGCGAGGCGGGGAGGTAGAATCGGATTCTTTCAGCCAGAGAGATGAAATTACACATAAATACATAAAAAAAAATACGCAGACGGCTCCACCCCCCCTCCCCAATTTCAGGCCATTAGTCACCACGGCAACGGCGAGGCAGGGGGAGCAGAGCTGGTGCATCCGCGAGGGGAGGGCACGGCCACGGCGGGGCGAGGGCGGCGGGTGCAAGGGGGACACGCGTGTGTGGAAGGGGGACACGCGCGTGCGAACGGGCAGGGCAGCGCAGCCGCATGGGGAGGCCGGGCACGGGCGCACACTCGTGCCAGGCTGGGCACACGTGCGAGGCTGCACGCACGCGTGAGGCTCCGTTGCATGGTGGCTCAAGGGGGCCTGGGTGCAGGAGCTGTTAATATTTCTCCCCTGCACCCACAGTGCCCAGACAGGCACCAGCGTCACCACAGTGTCACGTCAGCACCCTGGGGAAGGACCCCAACCACTATCCGCCTGCCCAGAGGTAGGGAGGGCTGGCTCGGGCCCTGCTGCCCTCATCCAGGGTAGCAGAGAGCACCCAAAGGGGCATCACCCGCCACCTTGCGCCCAACGGGGTCCTGCTGCCCTGGGGACTTTGTGACACTGCAGGGAAGAGGCGGAGGCTGGCGCTGGCAGCCCCAGGAAGGAGCAAGCCCTCACCTAAGTCTTGCAGCTCCACGTGGCCCAGGATGTAGAGGCCGCTCTTCTTGAGGTCGTTGACGAAGTCGATGAGGCGGGCGCTGCCCCGCGGGTTCTGCACCATCAGCAGCATCTGCGGGCGCCAGAACTTGACGTGGTCCTTCCGCACGTCCAGCATCAGCAGGTACTTCCGCACCTGGCCGCAGGGAAGCCAGGGGCGTCAGGAGGGCCACCATCCCGCAGGGGTGGCGTTAGGGCTGTCTTTAACAGCCTGCCGTGGGGATGCCAACCCCAAGGAGCTGCAAGACTGGCAAAGGGGCCAGCAGAGGAGGGCAAGGCAGCGGGCATGACTGGCACAGCTCACCTGGTGGAAGATGAGGGCCTGGCTGATGTAGCCCCAGGTGCTGCTGGGTGAGAGGTAGTGCAGGGCGAGGAGGAGGAGGAGGAGGAAGCCCAGGCTTGCTGAGGCCGACACAGGGCTGATGAGGAACATCATGACGCAGCAGCCCGCAATGCCCAGCAGGCACGTGTGCCAGGTGAAGTACCGGAAGGTGGGCCTGAGCAAAGGAGAAGAGACACTCGATATTGCCTGGGCATTCATGCCAGCTGCAAGGTGGGCACAACAACAGCACAAGGAGCAGGAGGTTGCACCAAGGTCCAACCAACCACCCACAATGAACCCTGCTGTGCCAGCCCAGGGCACGTCAGCCACCCCAGATGCCTGTGGCAGTGGGCAAAGCCCTGCCAAACACCCGACACTCTAGGTCCTGCTGTGAGACTAACAGAAACTGGCTGCCCCAGTGCTGCTGGCTGGAAGCAACTGGGAATGGGGCCTGATGGCTCCTGCTAGCAGAGCTGGGCCACAGCTAACAGGCACCTCGCAAAAATGAAGCAGCAAACAAGCAAATCACAGGGGACACAGGGGCACAAGGAGCTGGCGCTGCCTCTGTCCTCATCAGTGGCACCAGGGGGTACAAAGCCCCTGGCATTCGACCATGCTCAGCTGGCAGAGGAAAGTCCCGCAGGGAGTGCCAGGCTGCAGAGGGGATCGTTAGCTAATTACACTGGGGATAGTGACAAGGAAGTGCTCCCTAGCACTGCCTGCTAATGCTGCACCCCGGCTGCCCCACGCCACATCGTGGGGTGGCACAGGTACACGGATGCACGGTGCCAGGGCTGCTTTCTGGAGCCCCTTAGCCCACTGAGGGCAGGCGGCCCTGGCAGCAGTGCTCAGCACAACGGGCACACGGGGCGCTGGGCGCAGAGGGAAGGGCTGCCTGTGGCACCGCTGGCCAGCAGGGCTGCCCCCTGCACATCCCTCTCCCTGCGCTCACCTTCCACCTCTCCCCACTGGCACCTCATCACGGCACGCACCAGGGCCGGGCACAGAAACGGCATTTTCCATCTCAATCAGCCCCTTCCTGGCACTGCCACTGCTAGCAGTGGAGCCCGCAGCCTGCTGCACCATGCCAGGGCTCCCACCTCCCCGGCAGGGGCATCGAGCTTCCCACACCTCTCCGAGGGCAATGGGGAATGGGGTTGGTGCCAGAGGAATGGGGTCAGAGGAGGGCACAGGAGGCTACAGGGGGTGGTGGGCACAGTGCACCCCTCTGTTGCAGGGCAAACATTTTGTGTCAGTGGAGCACAGAGACAAGTTGGCATCCACCCTGGGGGCACTAGGCAATCCCCTGCTACCCGTCCTGGCAAAAGGGGGTAACCTGAGGCAGGGGAGGTGTCCAAGGGACTGGTTGCAGCAATTGGCATGGCCCAGAGGAGTGGGGTGGTGTCAGGGAGCGCGTGGCAGCGCCAGCAGCCGGGCACACGGCTCAGCCTGGCGCAGGGACGCGGAGGCGGGCAGGCGAGAAGCTGTTATTTTCTCTAATTGTTGTTTTTGCTGAAAGGTAATTAAAATCCTTTTCCGCTGCGTTTGATGGAGACCTCAGCATGGGGGGGCAGGGGTAGGCACAGCAGGGGCCATTAGAGAGCGGGGTGGGTGAAGGCACCCTTTGCTGCCCAGCTGCAGCACCCTCCTCCACAGCGGGCACCATTCAGCCCCCATGTGCCCCACGTGAGGAGGAGGCTGCGGGGGCCGAGCCCTGGCCTGGCATAGACACCAGCTCTCGCTCGGCACCGAGGCGCTCTCAGGGACACTCTGCCCTCCTGCACGCTCGGTGTTGGCACCCAGCCCTGCTTGGCACCACGTCCGCCCCCACCTCTGGGGCTCCTCGTTTCAGATGAGCAGCACCTTGGGCAGCAGCACCGCTCCTGAAAGCCACAGCTGGCACAGCCCCAGCCCCTCTGTGCCATCCCCGAAATCAGGTGGCTCCCACATCCCAAGGGCACTGTGACAGGGAAACACGGCTTGACCAGGCGGGGAGGGCTGTGCCCAGCTCACTTGCAAAGGGCACGAGACAGACGAGGCTGCCCGAATCACCCTGCTGCTTCCCCGCAGTGGCGGGGGCAGCTCTGCCAGGCCTGCCCCGTGCCAGGGCAGCCCCAGGCTCCCCCGGACTAGCGCTGCCTGTCGTAAGCACTCATCCTTCCTGGAAGATCTCTTCTCCTCCCCCCTGCTCAGGATCCCCCTCCTCCCCCTTCCCCGTTAGTTTAATTAGCACTAATGGAAAGTGGGCTCCATCACCGCTTGGCAGGCTGCCCGGGGGATGCCGGGCGGGCACAGGCTATAAATTACCTCCGGAAAGCCTAGGGGGAGGGGGAGGGATCCAGCTAGTGCTTGATGCATCGATACCTCCTCGATAAAGCAGTGAGAGGGCAGAGGGGACAGTGCCACGTTCCCTCTTCCATCCCATGGGGAAGGGCAGTCTCTGCCCTTCTGCCCTCTGTCCCCCAGGAGGGCGGCTGCTCTGCATCTCTGTCCTACTGAGGGGCAGAGGTTGTGGGGAGATGGCAGTGGAGGGGCAGACAGACAGATTGATGGATGGACAAGTGCCCACCCAGCACCTCAGAGCAGGCTCCCTCCTCTGCACCAGTGAGTACCTGAAGTTGGGGGCCGATGCCCACTCCAGCGCCAGGCAGGCCAGGTTGACAGTAGCATAAACCAGGAGGAAGAAAGTGGTGACGACGCCCGCGATGGTGTTGAGCTTCCCAGAGAAGAGAACCAGCTGCAGGGAGCACAGAGGGGCACAGCGTTGGCGCTGCCAGTGTCCTGCATGACAGCACCTCTGTCACCAGCCCAAGCCCAGCAACCTGCTCACTGCCCCTGGCACAACTACCCCAGAGCGAGCGCAGGGGCTGGCACGGAGCAGACGTGTGCCAGGGAAGGGCAGGGACAGGGCCAGGCTGGGCATGAGTTTCCCATGCCAGGAGGGGCAGCCCAGTGCAGAGGGTGCCGGGGCACTGCCTGGGTGCCCAGCTTTGTGCCGGTGCCGCAGGCTGCTGCTCACAGCCCCGCGAGTTTGGCTCACTGGGAGTTAACAGCCCGGCTCAGCCCGTAATGGATCCCCCGCCCAGGAGCCCCTGCACTCAGCCCTTTGCTGTGATTTATCCTTTGGTCATCCCACGGGGAGGGACAGGTCGCTGCAGGCAGGGAAGGCAGGCGTGGGGCCAGGGGTCCTGGGGGCCTCCAGGGCATGCAGGCGAATGGGCAGCTCTCGGCTCCCCCTTCCAGCCTCGGAGGTGCCCTCGAGGGCAGCACTGCACCCTTCTTGTCCCAAATGCCTCCCCACAGCCCCTCCTGCCCGTGTCCCCCAGTAGCCACGCAATGCCCCCCGCTCCAGAGTACTCCAGTGTGCCCAGCTGAGCCCCATTGTTCAGCTGCCCCTCAGCTCTGCCGTGTCTGCCCGAGGCACAAGCTGCCCCCAGCCCCACCACAGGCTGCAGGAATAGCCCTGGCGTGGGGACAGCTCCTCCCTTGCCCAGCTTGGCTGAGGGGACACACACCAGCAACACTGGAAGTGCCAGGCTCTGGCTCCGCAGTGCCCAGCTCAGGAGCCAACCCACCTTCAGTCGGTGGCACTGGGAAAAGGAGCACGGCAGGGCACTCCCGCGGGAGACGCGACCCAAGCGAGCGGGCGCTGCTCCGGCCAAGCTCACCTGCACCACCAGCCAGGAGAGGATCACAGCCATGATGGGGTTCCCGCTGGCAGACGTCTTCTTGGCGAGCGCCAGCGCCCGACCTGTGGAAAAGGGAGAAGCGGAGCTGAGGCAAGGCAGGAGGTGTCCAGACTGGCCCCAAGGGGCACCTGAGACACAAACCTGGAGTGCTGTCCCCCCACAGTGGGTACCAACACATGGGCATACAGATAACATCACTGCCCGCATCTCTGCGGCCTGGCTGGCATGCGGGTATATGCCCGAGGTGATGGTACCAGGGGTGCTCCCAGAGTGCTGATCTAGGGTACAGCTGGCATCTGTTACTGCTTCCATCAGGGGGGAAGAGTTGTGCCATGGGCTGTCAGTGCAGCCTCCTGCAGTTTCCCCCACTCTGGGTGCTGCAAACAAGACACCCTGGGCATGAAGAGCAAAGCAGCCAACCCTGCACCCATGTAACACAGCAGGGACTGGGCATCAGTCAACTGGCAACCCAGGCTCAGGACCCCAGTCCCCATATCCCTCAGAATAGGCACAGGCCAACTCCAAAATGTCACCCCCACAACAGGAAGGGGTCCCAGGACTGTTCTCAGTCAATGTCAACCTTCTGGATGGGCTGTGGCAGGTGCCAGTATGCCCTGGGCACTCACCAAAGAGATCATCCCGGGCCAGGGCATAGAGGATGCGGGATGCTCCGATGAGGTTGCTCATGGCTGCAGAGAGGGTGGCAGCGTAGATGCCCACTGTGACCAGGGGTGGGAAGATACTGATGTCACGCAAGAAACCGTAATCGTTCTGCAGGAGAGTCCTGGGGGGAGACATGCAGATGCTGGCACCCACGTCAGCCCACGCCAGCACATCCTGGCATGGGGCACACCTTGGCAATGATGACAGGGCAGGTGACCGTACCTGTTGCAGGTAGCACACATGAGGAAAGCCAACAGGTTGTAGACGAGGTAGGTGAAGAGCACGGCAGAAATGGTGCCCCGGGGGATGGAGTAGCTTGGGCGCTTCAGGTCCCCTGCGTGGAGGAGAGGGCAGCATTAGCACCCTGAGGGCACAGCACCCCTCGCTCTGCTCCAGCCTTCTCTGCCCAGCTGCAGCTCCCTCTCCTCACTCCTAGCACCACCGTGACACCTTTCTTTTCCTTACCCGACATGTTGGAGCCTGCCATGATGCCAGTGCAGCCGTTGAACATCACTGCGAAGACGGTGCTGAAACTCATAATCTGCCCCGTGGTGTAGTCCACGCTGTACCTACCTGCAGGACACAGGGGCACAGGCTACAACAGGCTGTTTGGGGTGGCACAGCTCTGCCATATATCCTCTCCTCAATGCTCCCTGTGCTCAGACAGCAGCCACCATGGAATAAACCACCCCTGACACTTGCTTTGTGCCCAGAAGCTCTCCCCACCCTACTTGCACTTCCCAGTTACCAGGCCATGGGGCAGTGCCAGTCCTCTCTGGCCTGGCAGGGGCACACATATCACAGCAGGAACCACAGCCAGGGCTGGGGAAAGCCATTCCTCACCACCCAGGTTATCCCGCAGGGTAGCGAGCGAGAAGCCTGTGAAGAGGCCGTTCGCAGTCTCCGAGCTGTTGGGGAGCGGCAGATGGATGGGCACTCCGACGGGCTGTGTGGCAAAAAAGCTGATGAGGATGGTGGCCAGCACACCCATGACGATAAGGAAGATGAGGAAGGTGGCTTTGGCGTAGATGGAGGCGCCCACGAGGCACACCACGAGGCACAGGGCAAGCAGGATGGTGCCGTAGAGCAGCTCGTACCAGTAGCTCTGGGGCAGGACGTGGACACCTGTGCCCACTTCTTGCCCTGGACAGAGAGATAAGCAGGAATCAGCAAGGCTCAGAGCAGTCACTGCCTGCAGCTGAGAGCCACCAGCTTCATGCCACACATATGGGGCAGATGATGGGGCACCAACTCAAGGGGCAGAGGGCTGAGTGAGCCATGCCATAAGGCATCATGTTCCAGCTCTGTGCCACACACCCACCTTGGCAAGCCTGGCAGGCTGACAGAGCTGCTCAGAAAGGGGATCCCCACTGCCCCCCGCCACCACACACCCAAGCACTCACCAGGCGGAATCCCAAAGCTGTCCACGACTGCCTCCACCAGCCCCAGCACGTAAAGGGCACTGCCACACACATTGGCCAGGAAGAACATGATCCCGATGCTGCCCCCAAATTCTGGGCCCAAGGCACGACTGATCATATCTTGCTTAAGTTAAGGGAAGATGCCAGCAACCCAAACTAATGCCCATAGGCACCTTTGGGTTCTCCTACCACCCCAAGCCAGGGCAGCTGCAGTCCCAACACGGTACCCCAGAGCCACCTCTCGGCTGTCACCCAATTTTGGCTCCTGCCCCCTGCCCCAGCAACACCCACAGCAAAGGATACAGTAGGCTCCTCCAGCATCCAGTGCCCCGTTGGTGGCGATGGCACACACAGACAGCACCGTCATGCCAATGATGAAGTAGGCCACTGCAAACATGGCCAGAGCTTGGTACAATCCAGCGTGACCCACGACAAACCCTGCCAAGGACCAAAAAGTGACCAATATCTCTGTTAGCTGAGCATGAACCACCCCATAACCTTCCCAGGAGAGCCAGGGCCCGCAGGCACAGCCATCCCCTAGACCTGCGGCACACAGGTTGCTCCATCCCCACGCCCACATCTTCCCCATTGCCATCAGCACAACACCTTTTCCCTGCTGAGACTGGGACTTCACCACCCTGTGCCACCCATGGGCATCCCGTGGTGAGGCCCTCATGCTGCTCCACCACATATGTGTGCAAGCTGAGACCTGGCTCCACAACACGCCAGCCTGGGCAAGGCAGGGACCCCCATCTCCTGCCACCCACCTTGGTGGGCAGCAGGTCCTTTGCCCCAGCTCCAGCATCTAGAGGGGATGGAGGCAAAGCAGGACCAGGACAAGCCCACAAGGCCCCACTCGGGGACCCATGGGTGCCCTCCTCCAAGGAGGCAGAGAGCCAGAGGGCAGCACTGGAGCTTGGCACAGGGCTGGAAAGCCCCAGGACAAACCAGGCGCATGCACCCCATGCCCTCCCTGCTCCCCCATGCCCTTGCATCACTGCCAAGCCTCTGAGTTGGAGGGGCTGGTGGCACAGGGGGAAGGGGACATTTGACACCCCCTGGCAATTAGCCCCTCTCCAGCTCCTGGCATGGCCCCAGCAGGCACTCGGCACTGCAGAGCTTTGTGCTCTGTGTTTTCCTGCTGCAAAGCAGGAAGTAAAAGCCGCCCTGGCTGCTCATGGGGCCCCACGTCCCAGCCCACCCCGAGCCCCTCGGGCACAGCAGGCTGCCCAGAAGCCTCATAGGCAGCACCTGAGCGGGGGCAGCACCCGACCGTGGCCTTGTTTGGGGCGGTGACAGCGTTGTGGGAAGCAAGTGAGTCCAGGCCACAGCGGCGGGCAGGAAGGAGCTGCCCGCGGCTGTTGCGAGGTGCCCTATCTCGGCCAC